CGAAGGTGGGCACGTGTGAGAAAGAACATAGGCTCAGGCTCTACAGATCCTGGGAGAGACTTGCTTGGGCTTCATGGGAGGGGTGTGTACTTTGAGGGACAGATCAACATTTAGTGTCTGGGACCCTGAACTGGGAACTGGAGAGAAGCTGGTGTTTGACCTTGGCCAGACCCTAGAAGCTGGTGTTTGACCTTGGCCAGACCCTAAATTTAGACCGTCCCACTTCAGTCCTTTCATAGCTACTGATCCTGACTCCTGGTGATCCACTCAAGATTGAGAAAGACCAGCAGGGCAGGTGCACCCAGATGTAGCTGCAGAATAGCAAAGGCACTTTACTTTGGAGTATCACAGACTTGATTTCCAGCTCTGGTTCTGACATTTAGTTGTGTGGGCAAATTTTGTCATTTCTGAGAGCTTTAGTTGCCTCACTTCCAAGACTGGTAACCCCTCCTCCCATCGTGTATATTAAATAACAGACCTGAAAAGAGAAAGTCTCGTTAATGTGAATCTGGGGGTGGGTCAACTGGGGCCTGGAGAAGACTTTTACACTTTTTTTTTTTTTTTTTTTAAACTAACTCTGTCCTCCCTCTGCCTGCAGCACCCTTATCACATGCGTGGAATCTGGGATTATCCAAGTCTGGCGTGACAATGACAAGGAGGCATCCTTTGACCCGGTAAGGTTCCCCTGCCTTGCTGGTGATGGTTGGGGAAGATGGGGGCCAGGGTAGGAACCAAGTGAGGGCTTTGGGGGAAGAGATTTAAAGACTCTGGAACTGCTTCTCCCTTCTCATCTCCTGTTCTTTTCAGCTCCTGGAACTGAGTGTGGGTCCTGGGGTGTGTAGGATGCGCCAAGACCCGGCACACCCCCACATGGTTGCCACGGGTGGGAAAGAGCATGCTTTGAAGGTGTGGGACCTACAGGGGTCTGAGGAGCCTGTGTTCAGGGCCAAGAATGTAAGTGACAGGGGTGGGATGGGCTGGGGCTGAGGTCCAGGGAGGCTGAGGCCATTGACTGAGTCAGAGACCAGATGGGCTTTAGGGGATGTTGCTGACGGCCTGAAGGAAAGAGCCTATGAGCCTCCCACAACCTGTCCCCCATCTATCCACCCCCCACCAGGTACGGAACGACTGGCTTGACCTGCGGGTTCCCATCTGGGATCAGGACATACAGTTCCTCCCTGGGTCTCAGAAGCTTGTCACCTGCACAGGGTACCACCAGGTGAGGCACCATCTCACCCTTCCCGGCCTTCAGCAGCCTCGTGGAGAAACAGCCTCCCTGCCCAGGCTCAGCCCTTGTCGTTTCGCACAGCTGCCTTTCTCACCAGGCTCTGTCCCTGAGTTAGAGGAAGCATTTCCTCCATCCGTCCCAGCCCTGTGGCTGAGCCAGTGACCTTTTAGTGCATCCTTGGATGAGTGTTCTGGACTGTGAGCCTTCCTTTGCTTCCCACCTGGGAGGAGAGAAGAGAGTGCCCTTTTCACAGTAGGAGCACGGGGTACAGGTGTGATGAGAGGATACTGGGTGTCAAGAGAACTGGGTTCTGGTCTTGATGCAGCCTCTGATTTGCTTTGGGACCCAGGCCTGACCCTTTACTCTCCAGCCTCAGCTCCTTGGCTTTATAGGAGGGAGGAAGGGAGCGAGGGTCCAGCTGGGGATCTTTACAGCTGGCCTCACTTAAAGTCCTAAGACCCAGGCAGGATTGGGTCACTATATTTGCCCCATTTCCTTTACTCCTGCATAATGACATCTGATCTTGGTGATATGCCTCTATTCAAAACACACCCTGAGGGCTTCCTCTCTCCTCTGTTGTTCAGGTTAAATTTCTCTGAAATGCAGTACTCTCTGAGAGTTGGACTGGCTTGCTTTTTCATCCCAAGGTGGGAGTCTGGAGGGATGGAATGCTCACACATGCGGACCATTCATGCTCCTAAGCAGGTCTCCTCTACCCACTCCTCCCTAACACTCAGAGAAGAGGGGGTACATTTCAGATGAGAAAGTTTCTCTAAGAGTCGGTCATAAACAAGAAAGCGGTGTGTGAAGGAGGGGGTAAAGATGTGGAGAAGCCAGGGGTGGGGGTGGGCTGCCCTTGTGATGCCTTGGTGTTTTCCAGGTCCGTGTCTATGATCCAGCCTCCCCCCAGCGCCGGCCAGTCCTGGAGGCCACCTATGGAGAGTACCCGCTTACAGCCATGACCCTCACTCCTGGGGCCAAGTAAGTGTTGCGAGGACAAGGTGGGGGCGGCTCAGAGAGGACTCCGGAAGGCCCCTGCTGACCGCACTCGCTCTGGCCCCCTCCATAGTTCAGTGATCGTGGGGAACACTCACGGGCAGCTGGCAGAAATTGACCTTCGGCAAGGTGAGTGGGCCAGGGAGCCTTGAAGGAGGGCAGGGCGTGGGAGGAAATGCAGGATGCCGTCTGACGGGGTGCAGGGGAGTGGTTGAGCCCTCATTCAGGTGCCTGTTGCCTGGGTTCAAATCCTGGTTTCACCAGAAGCTATGGGATCTTGGACAAGTTACTTCAACTCCTTGTGACTTCTAGCTCCTTTCCATGTAAAATGGAGATACCAGTGATAACTCCTGTCCCGGCGTTACGTTGAGGAATAAATATTGAAACGTAAAGTGATTGAGACAGTAAACAACTGGGGCGGCTGGGTGGCTCGTTTCGTTAAGCATCCAACTCTTGATTTCGGCTCAGGTCATTATCTCAGGGTTGTGAGATCAAGCCCCAGAATGGGCTCCACACTGGATGTGGAGCCCTGTCTAAGATTCTCTCTCTCTCTCCGCCCCTCCTGTACACGAGCACTCACTCTCTCTCCCTCTGTAAAAAAAAAAAAAAAAAAAGAAACATTTAATGGTTGTTGGCTGGCCAGCTCGTGCTGATGCCTTCCCCCCTCCTTTCTCCAGGGCGCCTCCTGGGCTGTCTGAAGGGGTTGGCAGGCAGTGTCCGAGGATTACAGTGCCACCCTTCAAAGCCCCTACTAGCCTCCTGTGGCTTGGACAGAGTCTTGAGGGTACACAGGATCCGGAATCCACGGGGTCTGGAGCATAAGGTGAGAGCTGGCTGCCTTATGTCTCCCCATCCGTGTTTCTGTTTCAGTGTGCTTGGCTCCTTAAGGCCCCTGATCTTTTGCAGGTTTATCTCAAGTCTCAACTGAACTGCCTTCTCTTGTCAGGCAGGGATAACTGGGAGGTAAGCAGTTGGGTCTGGGAATGGTGGGAGCAAGGGCACAGATGTGAACATTTCCCTGGGGAGAGAAAAAAGCAGCGGCTGGAACACAGACCTGGAACTGTCAAGTTAATAAACTTCTCTGAGGGGTGTTAATAGTTGTAATCCTGGGGTGCCTGGGTAGCTCAGTCGGTTAAGCGTCTGCCTTCAGCTCGGGTCGTGATCCCAGGATGCTGGGATCGAGCCCCACATCAGGCTCTCTGCTCAGCGCAGAGCCTGCTTCTCCCTCTCCCTCTGCCTGCTGCACCCCTACTTGTGGGCGCTCTCTCTCTCTCTCTCTCTCTCTGTCAAATAAATAAAATCTTTTTTTTTTAAGTTTTTTTTTTTTTTTTTTTTATTCATTTGAGAGAGAGACACAGCGAGAGAGGGAACACAAGCAGGGGGAGTGGGAGAGGGAGAAGCAGGCTCCCTGCTAAGCAGGGAGCCCGATGTGGGGCTCGATCCCAGGATCCTGAGATCATGACCTGAGCCGAAGGCAGACGCTTAACGACTGAGCCACTCAGGCGCCCCAAATAAATAAAATCTTAAACAAACAAACAATAGTTATAATCCTGACAGGGTTACTGCCAAGGGTTGATAAAGGAGCATGGATGGGAATAGTGTCAGGGAGCAGGAAATAAAAGATTATTTCCCAGCCAGATCCTCCTTCCCTCTGCATCTGTTACTGTGCCCCTGATTCCTCTAATTTTTCTCCCACCCACCAGGATGAGCCCCAAGAGCCCCAAGAGGCCAAAAAGGCGCCCCCAGAAGACACAGAGACAGATCAACTTTGGGCCTCCTTGGAGGCAGCTGCCAAGCGGAAGCTCCCTGATTTGGAGCCGACCCAAGGGGCTCTCCAAACCAGACGGAGAAAAAAGCAGCGGCCTGGGTCCACCAGCCCCTGAAGAGCCTGTGCTCACTTTGTAAATAAATATCTCAGAACCCACCATGACCCTGAGCCTTTTGTGATGGGAGAAAGGAAAAGGGGGTGGCTGCCCCCAGCGCTGGTGCAGTGGGGTATCTGACGTCACAAAAGCCAGGCCGGGAGCCTGGCGGGCTGGCGAGGGTGGCACGGAGTTCGGGGCCGCTCGGGGCTATGGGCTGCTGCCAAGACAAGGACTTTCAGATCTCCGATGAGCCGGCCAAGGAGGCCGAGTCGGAGGAAGGCGAAGGTGGGACCCAAGACACACCATCAGGGCCCGGAGAGCAGGAGAAGGGGCTGCCCCGACCGGGACCGCCCAGGAGGTTGGACCGGGGAGGGTAGAGCAGAGCTCAGTGGCCTCGTCATCCCCGCAGGCTTCGAAAGGGTCGAGGACCCGCAGGACCGCGGGAATCGCAGGTCGAATGAAAGCCTTTTGATCACCGTGCTGTGGCGGCGGCTATCCCTGTTCGGCCGTCGGGGGTCAAACAAGAGGCAATCAGCGCAGAATCAAAAGCAGGGGTTACAGGAGAAGAACCGGGAGGGGATCCTGGAGGAGCCGGAGAAGGGGTGACCCCAGCCCTGCTCTCAGTCTGCCCCAGCCCCTAGAGAATAAAGTTTCTAACGTGTACCTGCCCGAGTGCAAGTGCCTCTGCTGCCGGTTCTGGGCACACCGGCCGCGGGCACCGCGGAGGTGCGGGCTCTTTAAGGCTCCTCCCCTGGAGCTGGCCCAGCCCCCTGGGCCCCGGCTCTAGTTCCTCGGGGGCGGGGTCACGGGCGGCCCAGCCAATGGGAGGACGGAGCCGCTCCAGCGTTTGGGTGGGAGGGCGTGTCTCTCGGGCCGCTGTGCTCCAAAAGGCGTGGCACCGCCCTCTCGTCACCGGGGGTGGGGTTATGTGTGGGTGACGTGGCGGCTTCTAGTCTGTGGTCGGATTTCGGCGGCTACAGCGCTTGGGGAGGAGGCGGTGACCATCCGGGGGACTGTGGCAGTGGTGGCGGCGGCAGGCGGCAGAGAGGAGGTAGGACTCGCTCTAGGAGGGGTCTGGCCGCCGTGTCCGCTCCGGGCAGCGGCTTTCCGGGGGCGGCGACGAGAGGGGGGAGGGGAACCTGGGGCGAGCGGGCAAGTCCTGCCGGCCCGGCTCGGGGTGAGGGAATACTTCGCCGTCCAATCAGGAAAGCCCCTGTTGAGAAAGACGTCGGCATTAGCTAATCAGTGATTTCAGTTCTCCAGAAGGCGGTACTTGGGCGGGGGTGGGACTTCCTGTTTCAAATAAACACCCAGAGATTTTTTTCCCCCCTCCGCCCACCGAAGTGTGTCCCCCTCAGGGGGTCCGTCACCGTTTCTCCCTCAGGAGTCGAAGGGATCCGCGGATACGAGAGGGCCCGGTTAGGGCCTGGGACAGTTGCACAGGCCGGGCTGGCGCCTCGGGGCCACGGGACCTGCCTCTGGCCCTGCCCCTGCTTCACGGCCCCCGGCCCGCGCTCTGGCCGCCGGAGCCAAGTTGGTAGAGTCTGAGGAGCGGGACGGATCGGGCGGGAGAGCGGGGCCCTGCCAGCCGTGGGCCGGCCCCAGGACCTGCGGGTGGCTTTGGGCGCGAAAGCCCGTGCCAAGTGCAGAAGGGGCCCAAGAATTTACTGGTGTGGGGGGGGGCGTGGGATTTGTGGGGAAGGAGGCTGCCTGGGGAATGACACTCTCCCCTCCACAACAGTCCGAGGTTATGCGTCTCAATGATCCCGCGGAAACGCTACGGGTCTAAGAACACGGATCAGGGTGTCTACCTGGGTCTCTCAAAGACACAGGTCCTATCCCCTGCAACTGCTGGCAGTAGCAGCAGCGACATCGCCCCTCTGCCCCCCCCAGTGGCCCTGGTCCCTCCCCCTCCCAACACCATGTCCTGCCGGGATCGGACCCAGGAGTTCCTGTCTGCCTGCAAGTCCCTGCAGAGCCGTCAGGTAAGGACCAGGAGTGGGAAAGGCAGGAGTGAGCCTTACTGAAATCTGGGAGAGGCTGTGCTCCAGCACCGTTAATTGACATAATTTGGGGAGAACTGATGCAGCTCGGAGGGGGCTGTAGGATCTACTGAGCAACATAAAAGGAGTGGGTCAGTTATCTAGAGGCAAGAACCTAGACTGTTTTTTGAGAAATTCCACCAGAGGATAGGGTTGCTACTCTTTGAAGGAATATCTCAGGATGAGAGCCGGCTGCAGTATATTTGGTTTGGATAAGGAACAGGTTCTAGAAAGAGCCTTTAGCTCAGAGACAGGCACTTTGAATTCTAGTTCCGGAATAGTCCTACCATAAGTTTGCTCTGTGGCCACAGGGAAATTAGTCTACTTGGACCTTGCGTTTTTGGGGAGGTGAAGGGGGGTATTTTGTTTTTGTTTTAAAGTAGGCTTCATGTCCAGTGTGGAGCCCAGTGCAGGGCTTGAACTCATGACCCTGAGATCAAGACCTGAACTGCTGTCAAGAGTCAGAGGCTTAACCCACTGATCCACCTAGGTGCCCCTGGGCCTCAGTTTTTACATCTATAAAATGAAAGCAGTCTTTTTGACAAGTAGTTTTTTCTTTTCTTTTTTTTTTGTTTTTTTAAAGATTTTATTTATTTATTTGACAGAGAGAGAGAGAGCACAAGCAGAGGGGGCGGCAGGCAAAGGGAGAGGGAGAAGCAGACTCCCCGCTGAGCAGGGAGCCCGATGCGGGGCTCGATCCCAGGACCCTGGGACCATGCACTGAGCTGAAGGCAGCCGCTTAACCAACTGAGCCACCCAGGCACCCCGATAAGTAGTTTTTTTCAAAATTACTTTGGAGTGCTTTTTTACAAATTAGATTCCCTTGTTTTAATCCAGACATCCTGAATCAAAGTGGGACCTGAGTGACTGTAATTTTAAATATTTTTACTGCTCAGCTCTTAACAACTGCTTTTCTCTATAATTTCCAAGAGCTTTCCAGTTGATCCTCTTTGATTTCCTGATTGGAGAAATAAAATGGTAATAGTGCCTATCACTTATTTAGTGTTTACAATGTAGGAGGTATCTAACTAAAATACCTTATAGCCCTTGTGTTGTTTAATTTTGGCAACAACTATAGGAGGTGTGTAGATTGTCTCCATTTTATGCAAGAGGAAACAGATTCAGGATGGTTTAAGTCACTTGCCCCAAACCTCTCAGCTAATAAGTGGTGGAGTCAAGATTTGAACCTGGGTCTACCTGTGTTCAAATGTGAGCTCTAAGTGACTACTGATAAAAAAAGACCGTCTGGTGGAAGTACTAGGGAGAATTTAATGGACACCCGAGGAACAGTGAAAGCTGGAAATGGGGAGGGGGACTAAAGTGTCACCTCTTGATGTTGCATTTCAGAATGGAATCCAGACAAACAAGCCAGCTCTGCGTGCTGTCCGGCAGCGTAGTGAATTTACCCTCATGGCCAAGTAAGTTGAGAGAAGTTACGTGGTGGGGTGCTGCAGTGTCTGGGGGTCAGTAGGCTTGCCTCGGGTGGCCTTGGCTGTGAGGGAGGGCCGCATCGGTTGTGCTGGAGCTAATGTGGGAATAGGCCCTGTCCTGCCCTTTCCCATGGTGCCCTCACTAATGCTCGTTTCCAGGCGCATTGGGAAAGACCTCAGCAACACATTTGCCAAGCTGGAGAAGCTGACAATCTGTGAGTGTTCTTGGGGTCTTTCAGAGATGGGGCAGTGAACCAGAGAGGGCTGAGGAACCGTACTCCCTGAGCCTTGTCTTTGACCTCCCCCGTTGTGGCCTCATTTGTCTCTGCAGTGGCAAAGCGCAAGTCCCTCTTTGATGATAAAGCAGTGGAAATCGAAGAGCTAACTTACATCATCAAACAGGTGAGCTGCAAGCTGTCAGGAGCTAGCATTCCAGTTAGATCACTTTGATGAGTTCCCGTTATCATGGGGCCCAGAGTAAGTTTCTAGAGCCAGCCCCAGACATCCTGCTCATCCGTTGAGTCAGTGGACACTGATTGGTTATCAACTGTGTACAGAGCACTGCTGGGCACGTGCCTCGCAAACTTGAGGCAAGATTTCTGCCTTCGGGGCTTATTGTCTACAGGAGGTATCCAGTCCCACAAACTCATACTTACAGTGAGGAAAAGGCAAATGGTCTAGACCTTGTGAAAAGATGAATGAGACAGTCTGGGGACACTGATTTTATAGATTTTATAGAGGGAGTGAAATCTGAACTGGTTTCAAGGCTTGCATAGAGGCAGTGGGAGAACATTCCAGACAGAGGAAACAGTATGCACAGTGGCCCCGCTTATAAAAGAGAAAGTTGAAGTCTTTGTTCAGATGTTATTTGCTCAGGGAGGCCTATCCTGAGCATGCTGTTTAGTACTTCAGTGCTCAGACCTGTGATCTCCCTTACCTTGCTCTATTTTCTTGTTACAGCACTTGATACTTTCTAACATTTTCTGTCATTGACTTACTTACATTTATTGGTTTTGTTCCCTCCCCTCTACCTCTTCCGCCCCCCAGCAAAGAAAAAAAAGTATAAGTGCCACAAGAGCAGAGATTATTTTTTTTTCTTTCTGCTTGTTCACTGATGTATCCCCAATGTCTGTAATAGTGTCTGGTGTAGAGGAGGTACTCACTATTTGTTGACTGGATGACTGGTCGGCAGGAGATGAGGCTGGGGGGCGCCTGGGTGGCTCAGTCGTTAAGCGTCTTCCTTCAGCTCAGGTCATGATCCCAGGGTCCTGGAATCGGGCTCCCTGCTCCTCGGGAAACCTGCTTCTCCCTCTCCCACTCCCCCTGCTTGTGATCCCTCTCTCGCTGTGCCTCTCTCCGTCAAATAAATAAATAAACTCTTAAAAAAAAAAAAAGATGAGGCTAGGAAGGTAGGTTGGTGGCTGATTGTGAAGATCACTGTGGGCCTGGGTAAGGAGCATGGAATCACTGAATGCCATAGGCTGCAAGGACGTTGAGAATCTGGATTCTAAGTCTGTCTGAAAGACCCCCCTATAGTTGTATCAGAATCTGTACAGTTGTGATTCCTTCTTCTCCCAGCACAATGTCATGAGAATAAAACGTGAAGTTGAATGACCACAGGGGGAAAAAAACCAGCCCAGAGCATGGCTGGGCAGAGAGGCTAGGGAGAAAGCTCTGCTGCTGTCAGTTGTGAAGGGATGGTGACTCTGGCAGAGGCTGGGCCAGCCATGGACAGGAGGCGCTGTGCGGGGTGGAGGAGAGAGGACACCATGAACTATTGGGGCGCTGTAGCGTAGGCTTTGAAGAACCACTGCCTGGATTCAGACAGACGAGTTCAAATCCCAAGTCCACCAACTATGGTGTAATGTTGGGTAAGCCACCTAACTACTCTGAGCTTCAGTTCCCTAATGAATAAAAGGGGGCTAATAACAGCACCTGCCTCAGAGGGTGGTTGCGGGGATTCAGGTGTTTATTTTTGAAGTCACATTATTGAGTGACATAGCTACCTCGTTCTGGGGGATTCAGCAGTGAGCAAGACAGATGTGGGGCCTGCCCTGGGGAATTTCCTTCCTGCCTGCCTGCCTGCCTTCCTTTGTTATTTATTTACTTTTTTTTTTTTTTTTTGTTTTTTTTTTTTTTTTTTGAGAGAGGGAGAGCGAGAATCTCAAGCAGGCTCCATGCTCAGCACAGAGCCCAGTGAAGTGCTCAGTCCCAACCCCGAGATCATGACCTGAGCCAAAATCAAGAGTCGGATGCTCAACCGACTGAGCCACCCAGGTGCCCCAGGAATTTCCTTTCTGAATGGGTGAACAGACACTAGACAAGTAGACAGAAAAAACAATTTCAGGTTGGTGAATCCTATTAAAGAAACAAGAGAAGTGAGTTCCTCAGGGTAGGGGCTTACTGTAGATGGGGGTGATCTAGGACAGCCTGTGAGAAGTGGCATTGAGACCTGAATGGTGAAGAAAAAACCAGTCATGCAAAGATCTGGTGGGAGCACTTTCCAGAAAGTGGGAATAGCAAAGGGAAAGGCCTTGAAGGGGGGGCCACCTTAGGGCATTTGATGAACACGAAGGAGGCCAGTGTGGTTGCAGCACAGCAAGTGAGAAGGAGACTGGGAGGGGATGAGGTCAGGGAAATGGGCAGCGCCAGAGCCTAGAGAGTCTGTGTCAGCCAGGTAAGGAGTTTGGCTTGTGTTCTAAATTTAGTGGAAAGCTCTTGGGAGATTTTTTTTTTTTTACTTTTTTTTTTTAAAGATTTATTTATTCATTTATTTCAGAGAAAGAATGAGAGAGCACATGAGAGGGGGGAGGGTCAGAGGGAGAAGCAGACTCCCTGCTGAGCAGGGAGCCCGATGCGGGACTCGATCCCGGGATTCCAGGATCATGACCTGAGCTGAAGGCAGTCGCTTAACCAACTAAGCCACCCAGGCGCCTGCTCTTGGGAGATTTTAAGCAGAGGGATGACGTGCTCCGTTTCTGGTTCAAAAGTTCACTCTTTTTGCTGTGTTGAGGGTGGATTGTTGAGGGCAGGCTGTAAGAGGAAGGCCATTTAGGAAGCTCTTGGCGAATGTTGAGAGAAGGTGACGATATGGTCTAGGGTAGGTTTAGTAGAGAAGGAGGTGAGCTGGGTTCTCTGTGGGCTCCCGCTAGGCTCCCTATGGATTAAGGGGGAAAGAGAGGAATTGAGGATGGCTCTGCAGTGTCTGGTCTGAGCAGCTTGTGACTGGTGGTGCCATTTACCAAAATGGAAAAGGAGAGGGAAGGGGGAACAGCTTTTGGCAGGGAATTAGGAGTTGTCTTCTGTGTTAAGTGTAAGGACAAAGAAAGTTGTAAGCTGCTTGGCGTGCTGTGTGGGACACAGCACACAGATACAAGGCGCTCAGTGCCTGGTAAGCGATTCGTAGAGTGTGATTGTGTTGTGGCATAGAGATGGGCTTAGGCGGTATGAGTATGTGACTTAGAAGCTTCTGGGCGCGCCTGGGTGGCTCAGTTGTTAAGCGTCTGCCTTCGGCTCAGGTCATGATCCCAGGGTTCTGGGATTGAGCCCTGCATCGGGCTCCCTGCTCTGCGGGAAGCCTGCATCTCCCTCGTCCACTTCCCCTGCTTGTGTTCCCTCTCTCGCTGTCTCTCTCTGTCAAATAAATAAATAAAATCTTAAAAAAAAAAAAAAAAGTTTTTAGCTCGGGTGCTTTGGTGGGAAGTGGTACCATTTTCTAAGCTAGAACTGTGGGAGAGGAGATTTTATGGGAAGAAACCGTGGAATGCAGTTTGGACGTGGTCCTCTAAGGAGGCTGCATCAGCTCCAAAGGGCCAGACCAGTCAGCAGTGGATATCATCCATGGGTCCTGAATGGTTGTGGCTGGAATGCTAACTGGGGGGACTATTGGAGGAATTCTAGAAGTTGACTAATCTAGTTTGTCTCCAGCCTGTTCCTTGAACTCACTGTTCCTGACCTCTTCCCCCCTCCCCCCCAATCCCCCAGGCAAACTTTCTCTGCCACTCCCCGGCTACCTTCCTTTGTCTCTCTTGTCTTCCCTGGCACTTGGCAAGCCGGATCAGGGAGCGGAGGATGCCTTGGTCTGGTGTAGAAAGCCTGGCTGTGCTACTTTACCTCATCATATGTGACTTTGGACAAGTGACAGCTTTTACTCTTTTGCAATAATGATTTTGAAAGGAGTTCTGTATATAAGAGGCATTTTGTTGATGCTTCTGGGAAACCACGGAGACTTCCCTTCTCCTGACAGCTGCATAGGTGCTTTGCTGGTCAGTGTGCTCTGGGTGTGAGATTTTGGCCTTTGAAGTAGTTCTGTGGCCACGTGCCTGGGCCTCACAGGGTGGAGTTGAGCTGTAGGGTGAAGGGGGTAAACAAGTCATTTATTTAGAAATGGATGAGACCAGATTTCGCCTCTTCTGTCTCTACTCAGCAGGGACTGAGCCAGAACAAAGTCCGGAGCTTGGAACATCCCAGCAGGCCCTTCTGGTCTGACTTCGAAATACCCTCACCCCTGCTCATAGCTTCCACTCTGTTTTTCCCTGCCAGAGCTGTCCATGTGGGAGAGACATTGGCTGAGGACCCCTTGGTTAACAGTTTTTCTGTTGGCTCTCCCTAGGACATCAATAGCCTCAACAAACAAATTGCCCAGCTTCAGGATTTCGTGAGGGCCAAGGGCAGCCAGAGCGGCCGGCACCTGCAAACCCATTCCAACACCATCGTGGTCTCCCTGCAGGTGGGGGAACCTGGGGTCATTGGAGGGGGAGGCAGAAGGGAGAAAGGTGTTGTCTTCTCTGGCCGACCCTCTCTTTTTTTCTAGTCAAAACTGGCCTCGATGTCCAATGACTTCAAATCAGTTTTAGAAGTGAGGACAGAGGTAAGAAGAATCTGTTCGGAGGGGTAGGAACCGGGGTAAGGGTCTGAGGGGGAAATGGGGAAGGAACAAGTGGAGGGGTGAGGATAACAGCATCCTAGGCCAACAGGAGGGTCTCTCTCTCTCTAACATGCCTGCTTCCCAGAGGCCTCAGGAGCTTTGCATTTCTTCCCCAATCCCAGAACCTGAAGCAGCAGAGGAACCGGCGGGACCAGTTCTCCCGAGCACCCGTGTCAGCTCTGCCCCTGGCCCCCAACCACCTGGGTAAGTCAACAGCAATGCGGGGAGCCCTGAGGGCTAAGACTCGGGGACTGTGATGGCATCCTCTAACCCTGTGAGGGCAGGGTTCACTTAGGAGAATGGACAGGCCAGGGAGACACCAGGATTTCTCTCTCAGAGGTCAAACCCGATCGCTGGCATTCATGATCCGCACTTAGTCTTCCACGTTCTCAACTGTCGGGGCTGAATTCAGTCATGTGCAATAGAACGACTGTTTCTAATATTTTTGTTATTCATTCACATTCTCCCATTTAATTTTCACCACCGCCCTCTGAGAAAGCCACTATTATTATGCGCTATTTAAAGGGGAGGAAACTGGGGCGCCTGGGTGGCTCAGTCGTTAAGTGTCTGCCTTCGGCTCAGGTCGTGATCCTAGGGTCCTGGGATCGAGCCCCATGTCGGGCTCCCCGCTCCGCGGGAAGCCTGCTTCTCCCTCTCCTGCTCCCCCTGCTTGTGTTCCCTCTCTCGCTGTGTCTCTAACAAAATCTTTTTTTTTTTTAAAGATTTTATTTTTTTATTTGAGAGAGAGAGAATGAGAGATAGAGAGCACGAGAGGGAAGAGGGTCAGAGGGAGAAGCAGACTCCCTGCCGAGCAGGGAGCCCGATGTGGGACTCGATCCCGGGACTCCAGGATCATGACCTGAGCCGAAGGCAGTCGCTTAACCAACTGAGCCACCCAGGCGCTCTCTAACAAATAAAATCTTTAAAATAAAATAAAATAAATAAAGGGGAGGAAACTGAGGCCCAGAGAGGTTAAATGACTTGTCCAGGGTCACAAGGCTAGTAAGTGCCAGAGCTGGGACTGAAACTCAGAGCATGTGGGCTTTGAACCTGCTTTCAAGTACGAAGAAGTGCCTTTTCTTTCTTTCCCCAGGGGGCAGTGCTGTGGTTTTGGGGGCGGAGTCCCGTGCCTCTGGGGATGTGGCCATTGACATGATGGACTCTCGGACCAGCCAGCAGCTGCAGCTCATTGATGAGCAGGTACCTGGGCTCTGAACCGGGGAGGAGATGCTCCTCTGTCCTCCCAGGTGGGCGGCTAGCAAGTGTTTGAAATGTGCCTTGAGTAGAGTGGCAAGCAAGGAGGGTCCTAAAGAGGCAGGCCGTCCCCTGAGGAAGCTCCTCGTGCTCACGTGCACTCTCTCTCCTCTTAAGGATTCCTACATCCAGAGCCGGGCAGACACCATGCAGAACATCGAGTCCACAATTGTCGAGCTGGGCTCCATCTTTCAGCAACTGGCACACATGGTTAAGGAGCAGGAAGAAACCATTCAGAGGTGAGACTCTCTTTCACCCCAGATAGAAGAGCCTTCTCTTCCCTGTGGGGTGGCATCCTAAAGGTCCCCAGGGACAGCTTGATGCCCTTTGGAAGAGTAGAGTGAATCTGGCCTGCCCACAGGATTCATTCAACAAGTGTTTATGGAGCGCCTGTTTCTTGTCAGGCGCTGTTCTAGGTGCTGGTGATACAGCAATGAGTGTAACAGTGAAGTCTCTATAGTGTAGGTGTGGAATTCAGCAGCGTGGGTGAGGATAGCTGTTCAAAAGAGTTGACAAGAAATTTTCTGGTAATGATAAGGTCTACGCGGAGAATTATGGTGGGATGACGTGTTAAGAAAGGGACTGAGTAGTTCCTGTCAGTGGACTCCGACGCTTCTTCCGTAGTTTTGGCTATTGTAGATAATGCTGCAGTGAACATAGGGGTGCATATATTTTTCTGAGTCTGTGTTTTCTTTTCCTTTGGATAAATGCCCAGAAGTGGAATTACTGGATCATGTGGTAGTTCTATTTTTAATTTTTTGAGGAACCTCCATACTGTTTCCCAGAGTCTCTGTATTAGTTTGCATTCCCACCAACAGGGCACGAAGGTTCCTTTTCTCCACATCCTCACCAGCACCTGTTGTTTCTTTCTTTCTTTCCTTTTTTTTTTTTTTAAATGCTAGCCATTCTGAGAGGTATGAGGTGATATTTCATTGTAGTTTCGATTTGTATTTCCCTGATGATGAGTGGTGGTGAGCATCTTTCCATGTGCTTCTTGGCCATGTGGATGTCTTCTTTGGAAAAATGTCTATTCGGACCTTTTGCCCATTTTTTAATTAGTTTATTTTATTTATTTACTTTTTTAAAGATTTTATTTATTTATTTGAGAGAGAGAATGAGATAGAGCATGAAAAGGGGGGAGGGTCAGAAGGAGAAGCAGACTCCCGCTGAGCAGGGAGCCTGATGCGGGACTCGATCCCAGGATCCCGGGATCATGACCTGAGCCGAAGGCAGTTGCTTAACCAACTGAGCCACCCAGGCGCCCCAGTTTATTTTATTTATTTATTTGCTGTTGGGTTATAAGAGGTTTGGCTATTCGTCCCGTATCGGATAAGTGATTTGCAAACTTCTCTCCTTTTCAGTAGGAGAGAACTTTGTTGATAGTTTTCTTCTCTGTGCAAAAGCTTTTTAGTTTGACGTACTCCCATTTGTTATTTTTGCTTTTGTTGCTCTTGCCTGTGGAATCAGGTCCAAAAAATATTGCTAAGTGATGTCAAGGAGCCTGCCACCTGTGTTCTTTTCTAGAATTTTTATGGTTTCAGGTCTTTTTTTTTTTTTTTAAGATTTTATTTATTTATTTGACAGAGAGAGACACAGCGAGAGAGGGAACACAAGCAGGGGGAGAGGGAGAGGGAGAAGCATGCTCCCCACAGAGCAGGGAGCCCGATGCGGGGCTCGATCCCAGGACCCTGGGATCATGACCTGAGCTGAAGGCAGATGCTTAACGACTGAGCCACCCAGGAGCCCCTGGTTTCAGGTCTCACATTCAAGTCTTTCATCCATTGTGAGTTCACTTTCATGTGTGGTGAAAGCAAGCGGTCCAGTTTCGTTCTCTACATGTAGCCCTCCCATTTCCCCAACACCATTTGTGGACGAGACTGTCTTCCCCATTTATATTCTTGCCTCCTTTGTTGTAGATTAATTGATCATATATGTGAGGATTTATGTCTGGGCTCCCCCCTGTTCCATTGATCCGTGTGTATTTGTGCCAGTGCCATGCTGTTACGATGACTGTAGTTACGCAGTATAGTTTGCAATCAGGGAGTGTGATACCTCCAGCTTTGTTCTTTCTCAAGATTGCTTTGGC